CCAGCATCCTCTGCAACCCCCCCACTCCAGAGCGCCTATGCAAAGCAAAGCCTGCAGCCTTCAAGGTTCCTCTCGTCTTTCTCCGCTCTGACTTCCTTGAAGCTCGTGGAGAATATGCGCTATATTGATTCATAGGAGAAAAACATGCGGTAATAAACGCTTAATTTGACAAAACTCACCCTCAGCATCAATCACAAGATTCTGCCCAACATTTTTTCATTGTAGGTCTTTAATAGGGATAATCATACAAAATTGATTTTGTTCTCTACTTCCAAAAAACCATGCCTGCAGTAAGTTTTAAAGTTGTGAGGGGCACTATTGAAAGTTGTGACTGGATTTGATCAAAATTAAGCCCCTGTATGAAATGAATATTTTGATCAAGATGAGCAATCTGCTTCCTGGTATATGAAGTAGCAATAGTTTGCATCCAATCATTTATTTAAACCATCTTTGGGAATATATAATTATGCTGTAATTTGTAGTTACTGATGTTACCATATTTTAATTTGAAGGGTTCTTAAGTTTTTTTTCCTGTATCAATTGCGGATCTTGACTTGAGCGGAGCAAAAAGTAGCCAGGCTCCATATTTTGATGGTAAAAGACAAAACACGTACGTGTAACAGTGTTCCTGATCAACGTGATGCATACAGGTGCTGGTCATAAAATTAGAATATCATGAAAAAGTAGATTGATTTCAGTAATTCCATTTAAAAAGTGAAACTTGTATATTATATTCATACATTACATACAAACTCATATATTTCAGATGTTTATTTTGTTTAATTTTGATGATTACAAATGACAACAAATGAAAATCTCAAATTCATCATATCAGAAAATTAGAATATTACTGAAGACCAATAAAAACAAAGGATTTATAGAAATGTTGGCCAACTGAAAAGTATGAACATGAAAAGTATGAGCATGTACAGCACTCAGTATTTAGTTGGGCCTCCTTTGGCCTGTATTACTGCAGCAATGCGGCGTGGCATGGAGTCGATCAGTCTGTGGCACTGCTCAGGTGTTATGATAGCCCAGGTTGCTCTAATAGTGGCTTTTAGCTCTTCTGAATTGTTGGGTCTGGTGTATTGCATCTTCTTCTTCACAATACCCCATAGATTTTCTATGGGGTTAAGGTCAGGAGAGTTTGCTGGCCAATTAAGAACAGGGATACCATGGTCCTTCAACCAGGTACTGGTAGCTTTGGCACTGTGTGCAGGTGCCAAGTCCTGTTGGAAAATGAAATCTGCATCTCCAAAAAGTTGGTCAGCTGCAGGAAGCATGAAGTGCTCTAAAACTTCCTGGTATGTGGCTGCGTTGACCCTGGACCTCAGAAAACACAATGGACCAACACCAGCAGATGACATGGCACCCCAAACCATCACTGACTGTGGAAACTTTACACTGGACTTCAAGCAACGTGGATGAAGTGCCTCTCTTCTTTTCCTCCAGACTCTGGGACCTTGATTTCCAAAGGAAATGCAAAATTTACTTTCATCAGAGAACATGACTTTGGACCACTCACCAGCAGTCCAGTCCTGTTTCTCTTTAGCCCAGGCAAGACGCTTCTGACGCTGTCTGTGGTTCAAGAGTGGCTTGACACAAGGAATGCGACAGCAGAAACCCATGTCTTTCATACGTCTGTGTGTGGTGGTTCTTGAAGCACTCACTCCAGCTGCAGTCCACTCTTTGTGAATCTCCCCCACATTTTTGAATGGGTTTTGTTTCACAATCCTCTCCAGGGTGCGGTTATCTCTCTTGCTTGTACACTTTTTTCGACCACATCTTTTCCTTCCCTTCGCCTCTCTATTAATGTGCTTGGACACTGAGCTCTGTGAACAGCCAGCCTCTTTAGCGATGACCTTTTGTGTCTTGCCCTCCTTGTGCAAGGTGTCGATGGTCGTCTTTTGGACAACTGTCAAGTCAGCAGTCTTCCCCATGATTGTGTAGCCTATAGAACTAGACTGAAAGACCATTTAAAGGCTTTTGCAGGTGGTTTGAGTTAATTAGCTGATTAGAGTGTGGCACCAGGGGCCAGCAATTTTGAACCTTTTCACAATATTCTAATTTTCTGATATGATGAATTTGAGATTTTCATTTGTTGTCATTTGTAATCATCAAAATTAAACAAAATAAACATCTGAAATATATGAGTTTGTATGTAATGTATGAATATAATATACAAGTTTCACTTTTTAAATGGAATTACTGAAATCAATCTACTTTTTCATGATATTCTAATTTTATGACCAGCACCTGTAAGTGCTCAACATGACGTACGTGAGCGAAGGGTGAGCAATGACAGAGGATGTGGAATCTGGGGGTTGAGGCTTTTGGGTAAGAATTGTGTACTTGGCCATCTGAACCTGTTCTTTCAGGAGGAATGGACCAAAACACCCAACAGTTTTTGGGAGAAGCTTGCTGACAATCAACACATCTGACCAGGGTTATAGTTCAACATGTGAATATTAAGGGGAATGTTAATGTAAAAGGCTTAAACAGACCATAAAGAATCAATCTCTAACTGAACTAAAGCAATTGTATTTGAAAATATCACAGATATGTTCAATGTTACTTCAAGTATTTGAAGCCTTGGATGGGGGAATATTATTGCCATGGGACTATAGACTTTATAATCTAAAATCATTCCAACATCTAGAACAATTACGGTACTTATAAAATGTACCTAATTAGCTTTTTATGTTAATGTTTAATGAAGTGATTTAAAAAAAACACTACTAAAAGTTTCCTAATCTTACATCAATTCTCATAAAAAAAAAAAATTCAAAGTCATGTGAAGTGTGACCACAACCCTTTATTCACAAGCAATAATGATGAGTCCAGGTTTAGCGTTTTCCTCCAACACGGGGAGCGCTGACCTTCATGGGCTTGGCGATCTTAGGCTTCTGTGCCGTCTTAGAAGAGGACTGCAAAAAATCAAAGCAATTAATTTACTTTGAAGCCCAAGCTGAAACGTTGACTTTAAAATCCTAACTTCAATAACTAGGCAATGATGTGTCGCCTTTAAGTTGCATCTCACCTTTGCACTTGGTGCAGCGGGCTTCTTGGCCGCCTGCTTTGCCTTCTTGGCCTCCTTGGCAGCTCTAAAAAAAAAAAAGGAAAACAGTTTTTACAGCTGCTGTTTTTTGTTTTTTTTTAAGTCATCTGTTATTGATATAAGTATTCTGATTTGATGGTATTTGAGGATCAACCTGACAGAGCAGTTGTAAAGAAGTAACTCCTGTTAAACACCAAAAAATTCTTTATTTACCAAATTATTACAGTTCCATACAATCGATAAAAATGGTTAATCTAGAATGAAGGAAACTAAACCAAATCTGGTACAAGTCTGAATAGGAATTGTTTACATTTATTTTAAGTGTTACTTTCTGTTGATTTAATTTGTGGACAATCAATACAGCTCGTCTGCGGGATGGATCAGTGTATCAACTTTGAAACAACCAATCAGGTGTACATTAGATCATCAATTGGCAACTCGATACAAAACTGAAATTCCATAAAGATCACTCTTCCAGAATATCTGAAAATAACATTTTTCACAATATGTCCATCTATAAGAGATTTAGAGCTACTTTAGTCTAAGCTTTACTCCAATAGCTGAAAAAATTCTGTTTTTTCAAGTAGGAGCAAAAGGATTTTATAAAATTATAAGTTTATTACATAATTTTTCAAAATGTGTCATGGCGTAAGCTTAATTTGTTGTTTTTATTATTTTATTTTTTTTTACACTTCATGACAGTCTGCAAACAACCACCAAAGATCTTCGAAATTTTAGCAGGAATAAAATTCCTAAATTAACACAGGACTTCCAGCTGTTCTTACCTGATGGCCTGCTCCCTCTGGGCCTTTCGCACCTCGGGTTTCTGGTTCCTCTTGGCCAGAATCTCAGCCAAGGAGGCCCCAGTGATGGCCCTCTGGAATTTCACTGCGCGACGGGTACGTTTCTTTGACACCTCTTCCTGTGAAGGCAGGTAGGACATTTGTTCATATCCAGCAGATTTGAATCTTCAAAGGTAATTTTGAAGACAAAACCAGATTGACATTTGGATTTAGGCCAAGTACACTATAAAGATTTTTCTCCTTGTAAATACTGCAATACCAGTTTTAATAAATCCACTAACCCATGTGAGACATGGAATAAAGCAGCCAGTATATTACATTCAATACAGTCCTTAGGGATATAGTGTACAATGTTGTGACAAGGACATACAAAGCTGAGTCTACTAATTATTTAAACTTTCAGACAATTATTTAGTCCAATAGAATATGTCAATTTTTAGAATAACCCAAACTGCCTAGTTTGACTATTGTAGTTCCAGTTCAGAGAGAATACAATGATATAAAGCTTACAACTCTCAGGAGAAAGGGTTATTATCAGGCTTTGACAATCTAGAGCAAACATTCTTAAGTTTAGGGTGCAGGAGGATGAGATTCCAAATTATAGAGGACCAATATAAACAGTAAATTCAATGTCTGCTGTCAAGTCTTCTCCATTTAATTTGACAGAAGACAAAGTGCACCAGCACTGTGTTTATCTCGAAGAAAGGAGGCATAGGAGACACACCAAACATCTGCTGTAGATGTATTTAAGCTGAGTGATGATTAAACATCCCCAGGTGCTGGTGTGGTTTGAAGGAGCACCTCACAGAAGTAAACAGTACTTGGACACAATAAGGTGACACTTAACCAAACTGAAACGCTGAAGAAAAAAAAAAAAAGTCCCCGGGCACACCAATATTTAAGGCCGAAAAACTGTCATTTTAACAGGCATAATTCAATGGTTCCCTCTTGATATTCTGACAATAAAAAAGCAAATCTATCTAGGTTAATGCTACACACGTGTTGTACAACAAGAATTTTGTCTTATCGCTTACATGCATAACATTTAAATAAAATAAATATAATGGAGAAAATCCACTCTGTTAAAAAAAGACTCATTTTGAGGTAAAGTGGAATTACTATAATTGGGTAAAGAGTGTTTTTGTTGGAGAGTTTGGAGGCTGGTCAATGATTAGATATCTGTGAAGACATCAAAGACCAGTACTATGATCCCCAGTTGCTCTATGGCTGCAGGTGGAGAGTGAGCTCTGTTGCCAAGACTGCAAAACACAGCCCAACAACACAGCATAGCACAGACCAACACCGTGCACCCCAATCACCTGCAGCCAAAGGTACAATTACAATGGAATTATGATGCAAATTAAAACTAGTGGTTTATGCCACTAAAAATGTCAAGTTCTGCGTTTTCTTCCTAGTGGTAAAGCTTTACTAAATATTAAACATCTCTTACAGTCTAAAGAAATGTCTGTCTGCAAATATAGCCCCCCAAAAAAATAAACATCTTCAGTCCTCAGGTTACCCTTTTAGCTAAATGGGTGCACTCTTTAGATTAGGTTGGTCTGTTAGATTGTCCAGCATTCGATGCAGATCCAGCAGATTCCAAAACAGCTTCTTCCCCACAGCCATCAGACAGCTGAATATGAAAAAACTCAATCATGTCACAGACTCTGCATCAAACTGACCATATTAAAGCGTTTTTTTTCACTTTCACAATATTTACATCTGATCACTGCTGCACTTTGAGAAATGCTATTTTCCAGTCATGCGAGAATCTTTCGATCGGCCCGACTTTCAGTCTGATCGTGAGCCGTGTAGTGTACAGCGGGTTACGAGCGGCGATGAGCTTCTCACGACCACCTCCTGATCAGGAATCGTGAGGTCGGGAGAATATCAAACATGTTTGATTTTCCTCCTCGACAGTCGTGGGCAAATCGCTCAGGGGGAATGCGCAAACAAGGATTGTTCTTTTTATTCCTCCTCTCAGATGTAAACACAACAGCATGGCAGGGATGCAATTAATGAAATGCAGCTCCGTCTGCAAAATTGATGGACCGCAGCAGCCACGCCTGCTCAGCCACATCCTTTTTCCAAATACGTTGTCGCCCTTTCTAGGACCCTCAGCATAAAATTGCACAAATTGACAAGGCAGCGCGGTTCACTATATGGAGCCTAATATCCCCCTTCTATTTGTTTGGCTTCAGGATAGAGAGCTACAGAGCAGCTCAATCTCACTGCGGAGCCGAGTCCAACGTCTTTTTTTAGTCGCAGTTTGAGCAGGTAGATTGCATGAGAGCGTAGGACCGAACATCAATCGTGAGCTGCTGCTCACACTGTACAACTTAAGCCCTGCGTTTAGTCATACAGTGTGAGCAACAGGTGCGTGCAACGATTGAAAAAGAAAAAAAATAATAATAATCAAAGTGTAGGCCGGGCTTTAAGTTGTCTTTTACTGAAAGTATCAAAACAGCAGACAAAACAAATTTCTTCTAATCTTTGATGGTATTATTTTAAAAAGCTTTAGGCATCAAAGAGGATGCATTATCTGAATTTTGTGCAGAATGAACGCAAATCTGTCTAGAGTTCCTTGCATCATCTTCTAAATGTAAATTATAGCGGGGAAAAAAGGTGTAGCAGATTAAGTTATGATCCCTAGGATGATTTTTAGCTAGTTATATAGATTTGCTGCCCTCATTGTATGACTTTATGAACATCAAATCAAACCCTCCAAACATCTTCCTAACATCCAACTGTATTCACACCCTCAAACCATCATACTTACAGACTGGCCTTTCTTGTGCTTGCGTCTGTACAAGACAGTCCAGTTGATCTGTCTGGGGTTCCTCTTGGATAGAAACGCAGACTCACACTTGGCGTTCAAAAACTGGAACACCTAACAAAACAATTGGCATGAATTAAAGTTTGTTTAGCACTGAAAGCTAGTTCCAATCCTTTTAACACGTTGACATTGTGGCACCAATCAACAGACAGGATGTACATATTCTCACAAATGGCAATTTTTGAAATTACATTCAACTGCTATACCCACTAATGTAGATATATTGCCAATAGGCTGTCATCAAAAAGCTATCAGATGACATCTATGCAACACGATTAGGGAAAAAAAGCTGAAGTCAAACGACGCTGTAAGCTAGCGTTAGCATATTAAACGGCTTTCAATTGGATCGAGGGGCCTATAACAGAGACAGAGTTTTAACATTTATACAACGTTTTTCTTAATGTTAAGCTGTCAAAGAACACTCAGCCCCAAAAAATAAATCAATTTAGAAGACAAGGCCATAAAACAATGTGAAGATGATTACCTTTCCGTCTATCCTGGCGTATCGGCGGCCATGGCCGGGGTATATTTTATACCCACTAAAACTGCACAACTCGACCCTGAAACCCACAAATAAAACACATCACGGAAAAGGTGGTGAACATGGATCAAGAATATGTTTCTATAACCTTTATAATGTTAACGAAAAAGTTACGATTGATTTAGATTGTGTTCTATGCACTCACTTCATGATGGATTCGAGAGGGCTCAAAACCGGAAAGGAAGATACCGGAAGCGGAAACTCATATAAAGGATATTTATTTGATATTTTAAATATATATAATCAATCTTATTTTAGTTTGCGTAGTTTATTTTTTTCCTAATGTTATATGATAAGACAATATTTTCCAATTTTTTTTGTCTAATTCATACATGTCTAGTTCATATAACATAACATTACTGACCGTTTGCTAGCGAGCGATAACATTTTGTGATTAAAAAAAAGGAATAAATATAGATATTCATATTCATTTTTATAGAAATTGAAATAATTTTCATATAATATGATATAATATTTTAAATGTTTTTTTTTTTTCTTTTTTTATCAAACTTTGGTTGGCGCGTTCAACGGCGGGCTCTGTAGTCCAATCAAAGCTGAAACATCAGCCCAATAAAGGAATAGAAAGACTCGTCGAACTACAATTCCCATAAAGCCGTTCGCGCTACAGTTTGACAACCAAAAGATGCTTGTCTACACCTTAGCCTTTAGCTAAAGCTTAGTGTTGTCCTGAGCCGATGGGATGGGGGTATCTGACTTACAGTGTGATACAAATGCTGGTAAGAGGATAATTTATTGTTTTGTTGATACGGAAACGGATAAATTGTCATGTTTAGCAGAATCCCTTGTGTTTAGCTCATTACTTGACATCCGTTAGCATCCCAACATTATCAGAACATAGAAATACTCCAAGTCAGTCATTCTGAATCTGAATAAAAATATTAGTATATTTTGTATAGTTATTTTCTTGTATGTGTTTTCAGGTTGTGAGTAAATGTTTGCTATAATAGTATCTATTCTCTGTCCTTGTTTTGTCCTCTTACTGATATTGTATGGACTCTTTAACACAGATAAGCATGAACACTCAATTTATGCTTGCTATAGTTTTTCTCAATGACTTTAGTCTGATGTATTCACAAAAAGTGTTATTTTTAATGGGTTTTTTCTGACTGGTGTCCTCATCCTTTATTCTCTAGGAGCCGTGGTTGATCTTTCAGCTCGCAGTATGCAGAAACTGGATCCCAGTTTTACATGCTCTGAGGAAACCCACACTCTCATCCTGGATCGAAACAACATCATGAAGCTGGACCACCTGGAACGAAGCCCAAGCCTTCAGCAGGTACTAACCAACACGTCTCCCATTGTGTATGAAAAATGATTGGACTATTTTCCAGATAATTCTTCATTCCAGGTTCTAAATATCTAGCCAAAATTGGCTTTAATAAATACACACATCTTTAGGTATTCTTAAGATCGGGGAAATAAAATGCTCAGGAATTTTTAATCCAAAACCTGCTCTTAAGTTTATTCATTTTTGCTTTGATCCCTGGTTTGACAGCTAATTGAAACCTTATTTTTTCCCAATCAGCTTTCTGTGGCAAATAACCGATTGGTTAGAATGATGGGTGTGTCCCAGCTCAGAGAGCTGAGAGTCCTCAATCTACCCAATAACAGTATTGGTTATATTGAAGGCCTGCGAGATCTACCACATCTAACATGGCTCAACCTGTCAGGGAACAACATTAAGGTAAGGGAATGTTTGTTTGGACATTAATAATGTTATTAAAATTAATCTGATGTAGACTGATAAATCTTTAACAGACTCCATCATCTGTTGCAGGTTATTGAGCAACTGAACAGTTGTGTGTCTCTGCAGCACTTGGATCTGTCTGATAATAACATATCTACCATAGGAGATTTGACTAAACTGGTAGCATTAAAGGTTTGCCTTAACTTACCTTCACTGACAAAAAAAGATAACATTTTGTTGTTGTTTTTTATTTATATATATATATATATATATATATATATATATATATATATATATAAATGTTACCCATTTTTTCGGTCCCCCCTTGCAGACGTTGTTGCTCCATGGAAACAGTATCACAACACTCAGAGCTGTTCCTGCTCACCTTCCTGCCCATCTGTCCATTCTTTCCCTGGCAGAAAATGAAATAAGGGATCTTAATGAAGTAATGATGTGTTTATTTTTTAACCTTTATTATTGATCCAAACTCATATGCAGCATATAAATACTGTAATGAGTTTTGTTCTTTAGGTTTCATATCTGGCCCCTCTTCACGAGCTGGAGCAGCTGTCCATCATGTGCAACCCTTGTGTCATGGCTACTCCCTCATTGCCGAGTTTTGATTACCGACCATACATCATGAGCTGGTGCCTGAACCTAAAGGTCCTCGATGGCTATGTAGTGACACAAAAAGAAGGGTGAGCCACTTTTCTGCACGGCTAGAGTTTGGTATAAGAATCAATAGATTTGAATCTGATTTGTTTTGTTTCTATATCTGTTGATTAAATAAATAGCCTCAAAGCAGAGTGGCTCTACAGCCAGGGGAAAGGTCGGTCTTATCGACCCGGGCAGCATGTTCAGCTGGTTCAGTACTTGGCCACTGTTTGTCCTCTGACGGCATCGCCTGCCTTGGAGACGGCAGAAGATGCTAAACTGGAGAAGATCCTTAGTAAACAAAGGTATCGGTGGGAATCTGTTATCTAATGAATTGTTAAATAGAAATGGTTTAAATATTTGATGCTAATTTGTTGGTTGTTTAACACTTTTTTTCTTTTTTTTTATTACTGAGATTTTATGTGCCAAACTATAAGAAAGTGCACAAGTGAACATTTTTACATCCGGACAATAACATCGCATTTAGTTGTAGACATTGAGTATAAAGATGTTCTGGGGATATTAATACTTTTGCAAAGCAGCAATGCATTATTCCAGCTAATGTTATGTTTATTGAAAAAGTAGGCAGATTATTTACGTTTCTACTTCTTCCTTTCACTTGTCACCTTCACAGGTTTTAAGTTTTTTTTTGTTTTTGTTTTTTTATTATAATTATTTACTTATTGGCTCCTTTTCTGTCAGATTCCACCAGCGGCAGCTGTTGGAGGAGACTCGCGGAGGCTGCCCCAGTCCTCCTCGTCCGACTCGGCTAGATGTTGAAAGCCTCACTCCTGGAGGCCAAGAGGTGAAAAAAATCCCCACACCTGTACCGGCTACTCCTCCGTCTGTCCAGGATAAAGGTGAGAATGCAGCTTTAGCAATTGTTTATTATGAAGTGATTATTATGCTTCGTCTTCGTTTTTCATATTTTTCTTACTTTGTGGCATGTCTGCTTTTCTACAGAGCCAGTGGTGCAGTTTAACACCTGGGTGAGCTGTGATGCCTCTCATGTGTCGCTGCCAGTGGTTCGCAGCCCTAGGATTACAGGAGAGCAGGTTTATTTAGAAGACTTGCAGACCGATGAGGACAAAATCAACAGCAGCTTGCTCTCCTCTGAATCCACCTTCCTTCCCCTCGCGTCCGACCTGGAGCCACAAACGACCCACACCGACAGTGAAGACGAGACCGAGACATTTGAGCCTGATTCTCTGGCTCCAAAGCGACCCTCACAGTCTAGAAATCACAACCCAGAAAAGACTAATGCATCTCCTCTGACGGATAAGCACCAGAAGAAAACTCAAGCAGAGAATGTTTTAATTGGCGCAGCAGTTGCATCACCGGCAGTAGTTGCCATGCAAGAAAATAATTCAGAGATGCTCTTTGACTTTGGTAACGCAGAAAGCAGCGACGCTGCAAAGCAGGGAGAAGCTACCGCGCCTGTCTGTAAATTAAATCTGCTGGAAGCGGAAAAGGCGGCCATTAAAATACAGTCTTGGTGGAGGGGACACTACACGCGATGTTTCCATCCAGCAGCCAGAGAGGTGCGCGGTGAAATCCGCCTGAGGAGAATGCAAGAACACATCGTCTTCCTGTCTGACCAGTTGGAGACGTGAGTGACTAAACAATTGTGCTTACTTAGCTTTTGGTAGGAAGAAAGGAACAATCTGTGCTTCAGATTTATTTTACTTCTTGTTGATTTTAAATACGTCCAAGAAACAATATGCAGAGTTTAATGAGGTTTTTTCTGCAGGATGCAGAAGCAGTATGAGGAGGAGAGGCTTCAAAGGCTCGTTCAGGAAGAGGCTGTGAAGTTTCTGTGGACGGAGGTAAACTAAATCTGTTTACAAAATCTGTTATAGATATTATGCTTTTGATGTAAAATAGACTACAAACCCCCTTTTCTACAGCTCCTCCAAAGGTATCAATCTCTTGGCTTTTTATTAAATATTTTTTTTTTAGCCTCACATGCCAGTTTAGATTGCTGATACTCTGTGGGCTGTAGAAGGTCAGGGATATTGTCTATTACCTAATTCTGCATAAAACTATCGCAACTTTATTCCGACTGCTTCTTTTGTGCCCCTTAGTCTTCCATACATATTTAGACGTCAATTATCAGATTTTTTTGTTTTTCGTAAAAACTATGTATCCCCTTTTTCTGCTTCATAATTATGTCAATTTTTTGGTGATTTATTATATATATACTATGTTGGAGTTTGAGGTTATAAAGTTTGAAAGAAATGTTTAAGGGTGTGAATACTTTAAGCAGGCATCGTAAATGTATCCTGTTTGGGAAGCCAATTTATATTTTATTATAAGAACCTCTTACGGATGGCCTAATGTTTTGAGCTGTTTGCTATCTGTGATGTCATTTTTCTCAGCTGTGCATCCTGATGTTTTTCTTTTTTCCTCGCCCCATGTTTTTCATTTAGCTCCAATCCATGCAGCAGTGGAAACAGACTGTGGAGATCAAGCTTGCAGGCATTTCACAACAGGATCCCCCGGCTCCCATTTATTCTCCCGCAGCCCCACCCGTCGCCTCAATTCCCACAATCCCTCCCATCACCGACGTCTCCTTCCCAGACTCTGGATTCCAGTCAACCAATGAGCAGCAGGCCACACAGGAGGACAGCTTTCTGAGCAGTGGTACAGCGGACTCTCTGAAGACGGTTCGAGCTCTGAGCCCCGTACGGAGCGGCGTCGCCGGCACGAGCGATGGCGTGGACAGTGCAGACTGCAGCCTGTTGGAAGAATACCTGTCGTCTGTACAGCAGAGGGAGGAGGAGGCTGACGAAGTGAACAGTGATAAAACTGAAACGCCTCAGCCCTCTCCAAGCAGGACACCGTCAACCAAAGTTTCTCCCACACAGAAGGCGGCATAAACCACTCCAGACTCTGTCTGATCCTTTAATCATATGAGATTTGTCAAGAGTGGGTGGTAATGAGCATTCTGTGTGGGATTCAGAAATTTCAGTTATTTTAATAATACCTTATTGAGGTCTGAAAGCTGCATTCTCAAACTCACCCTTAACAATGAGAAGTGGCTTGAAACACTACTTTTAACTGAATGTAATGTTTTATACCAGCTTTTCTTTTTCCTGCATATGTATGACTAAACCACAAAACTGTCAAATTTCAGCTGTTACGACGATAATATGATTAGAGGTTTGCAGTTTCACAATGCACCTGTTCTTGTAGCTTTATAGTCTAACCAATCTGCTACAAACATGGATTCTGTCAACTGTTAGTCTTGATCAGCTTTATCTGATATTAAAAACAAACCTGCTGTTGTTTTCATCTTCAAAAATGTCAAATATCTAAAAATAGATTTGAAATGTTAATGTTATAAATAGAAGGAGCACAGAAGATCAATGCACATCACCTGGACTTGAAATGCATAATTCTTGGATTGGGATTTCTTTGTATTTGTGCTTGGAGCCCTAATTTATATGCGTAAAATGTACCAACAAACAGCAGCTTTTCTGGATGATTGTGCTTCATCACGATTTTCTCCCCTTTGTTTTACCTGAAAGAGATTGTTCCAGAGCGAAAGTAGGGCGTTTTCAAACTACCTGAAGGTTTTGGTAACATCCATAGGTCCATTTCTGCTGCTTGTGTCTTTACCATAGTCACTTTTTATACATCATTAATGTAAATCTTTCAATAAATACATTTCCACATATACTTTAAAGAAGCTGCCAGGTCAGTGAGATATAGGAAAAAAATATCTCAATTCAGTTTATTTATATAGCGCCAATTCAGAACACGTCCTCTCAAGGCACTTTAAAGTTCATCAGATCATCCAGTCAAATTGATTCAAAGTTTTCTATCTAAGGAAAACCAGTTGATTGCATCGACTCTGACTCGAATGCGATCCCTCACACTAAGCATGCTTGTAGCGACAGTGGAGAGGAAAAACTCCCTCTTAACAGGAAGAAACCTCCAGCAGAACCTGGTCTCCCAGAATTAATTTGTATTAATTAAATGTGAAGTAAAGAACTCAAGGGTCACTTGAAATAAAAAATACACCTAATTTATTTATTGACTTGTTAGTTAACAAAAAAGGTAATATTGATGAAAGGAGCTTTTAGATGTTTTATTGAGGGGAATTATGTTTAAGGACAAAATCCCAGTCAGGCATAAATAGATAAAACACACAGTGGCAAAGTTGACCTTCTCCACATACTGTCATGAAGACCACAATCATTAATATATATTAATTGGAATCTCATTGGAAATACAAACACAAAGTGGTAAGCTATTGTGAGGTGAAAAAAATGATATGATTTGTTTTTAAACCTGGAAAGGGCATTGTGCAAAAGTCAATACTTTTTTTTTTTTTACCTTTTTGCTGTAATTAAAGCAGCAGGACCTGTGTCTTTATTAGCTTTGCATAATTTCTCCACCAGAGGGCGCAGTTGAACTCACTTCAACAGCCATTTTCAGCACGGTTTTCTCTCATCACATCATCTGAGGCCCCATTGGAGGAATCTTGAGGGGGGGGACGCTGCCTCCAATCCTCGGAAAGCTTTTCCTCCAGTCTCCTTGGCTCAGCTTTGTCATTTTCTCACGGTCCGACACCATGAAATCATGTAAGTAAGCCAACGTGACACATCTATCCCCCTTCTCACACAATAACGCTTTTTTGTTTGCTCTTTTAATTCAGGCATGTGATTTGCACATTACTATGTGTAAAATAATGTTTGTCTGCTCAGGTTTTTGGCTGCCGTCAATGTAATAGAAGCAGGTTAAGGTTGAATATTTAGCGCTTCGGATGTGAAAATGACCGTTAGCTTGTTTACCGTAAATGTAAACTGCGCTATTAGAGATGATATCAGCGGCCTTCATATGTCTTGTGGGTTTTTTCTAAAAAACATGATTTTTATTATTGCTTTGCTGATGGTTAAGGTTATTATCAAATATATAAATACCAAATTCTGTCAGCCTGCGACAACAGAAGAGCAATGAGACCCTCCTCATGGGGAAGAGCCTGTAATCCTCCGCAGCTTTTTCCTTTGCGCCTCTATCCAGGCTGTACGGTAGGAGAAAAGGGCCCCTGGGTGCAAAAACGGCCAATTCTGGGGCCCTTCTCAATGAAGTATCTGTCATTCATAAAAAAATAAAAAAAATTACAGTACATAAATGGTTAGGTTTGTACAATATTAGATATTAGGTCAAAATGGACTCCGTTTTCAACACTTCAGATATATATTTTAGTCTCATTTAACTGTGCTGTCACTCTTTCTATTTTTGTTGGTTATTATGCTGTATTTATACATTTTTAAATATTTGTTTTGTGTTTTAGTTATTTAGATAAATTTTTTGGTAAATAGTTTTATATAATGCTTAATAAGAAAATATTGTGTGATTTTCTATGTTAGCCCATCTCTGAGATCCTCAATAATGCTAAAATTTACACACCAACCGAGGAGTGGGAAATTAGCAAAATATTGAACTCCAGTACAAGTAGAAATAATAGAATCTATAGCGATCCAGAAAATTGCTCTGGATTGTGAGCTCATTTTTGTTGTTGTTGTTGTTCTGATGAAAGAAAACAGGTCAGATTAGTGAGGTGAACGATTTTTCTAAGCTTCTCCAGGACTGTTAACGTTTCCCTGTGACGATGCCAATAAAACCCATTGTTCACTCTGTTTTGTAACAGTTTTCTTTTTTTAGAGTAAACAGTTTGATCCCCAAGGTCTCTGAAACGAAGCGCTGTGTGATTTTCATGTGACTGGCCAATGTGCCATTAAAGCCTGAACTGAGACATAAGCAGAAATGAGAGCAGAGCAACCTAAACAGCTCCTATCCTATAATAAAACAGTACTGCATTTTAACTTTTGGACAGTGGATTGTAAAGCTTTCATTTATTTATTTCATGAAATGATCCTATTATACTTTTTATCATCTAATTATAGTTTTAATACTTATACTTAAAATTCTGTTTGTTGAACAGTTGGGTTGTTTTCTAGTTTTCCCCCCATTTTGAAAAGTTATTTGCAAAAATAATATTTTTGTCATGTTGCACCGTATAGTTCAGGGCTCCACAAACCTTATATAAGCTAGAGACAATATGGAATTCATTTTAAGCTAATAACTTGTTTAGAGCTGCAAAACATCGCATGACCTTTTTAACAATAAGAAAAAGATAACTTTTATATTAATTAAACATCAACCAGAGGAGATTTGTCATTTATAAACAAGCATTGTATCATTTCAGCGTTTGTTTTTTAAAATGAAGAAAAATAAACTTGAGGAAAAAGAATAAACACATTTTTCAGTGATTTCCTAATATTTTGAGAAGATTAAGCTTGAAAACCAACATAATTGCCCCTTAAAAAGAAATATATATATTTGTGTTATACATTTTTTATTTATGATAATTAGTTTAATTTATTTTGTAAATAAAAAAATGAAAAAAGATTTTTGACTTCAACTCTAATAAAACTCAATTAGAGCTGCTAACATTGCATGACCTTTTTAAAAAGAAAAAAAACTATGACATATGTAACACAATAGATTGCTGATATTTTTGGAAGATTATGTTTAAAAAACATTTTCCCACTTCAAAAAAAAGCTATATAGAAAGCTATATAATATTTCTTTCTAAATATTTTTATATATATATATATATATATATATATATATATATATATATATATATATATATATATATATATATATATATATATATATATATATATATATACTGTATATATTTGTATTTTGAAAATTAGTGCAATTAGAAAATTGAGAAAGTCATGAATTTTGTTTAGTCTAGTTTTGTGCACATTTTTGCTGGCTCCTTATTATTTTTAACCAAAGTGATGAACAGCCATTGTTGAGTGTCTAAGGAGCTTACTGCTCTGGAACCACATGTTGCAGGTCACTGATTATAGAAAATGTGACCAAATTAAAGAGTGAATAAATGTATTAATCCAATCTTTAGTGCGCTTAACCCAGAAAGAATAAGCTCTCAGATTTATGTTTCCACAAACTGGACAAATAATGATTCTGTTCTGTCTCCGTCTCGTTTACAGAGCTCAGGATTAAATCTTGCCATTGCTGTGGTGAAATACAGGAGAAAAACAGGGCCTGATCATGAGAGACAAAAGGAAGACGCCATGTGCCGAAATCTGTCGAAATATGCTCTGCTTTTCCTCTTACTTTCACTGTCGGGGGTCATCTTCCTGTTGTGCAACATCCACAATATCGAGGTGAGAAAAGAAGTGAAGAAATTATTTTTTTCTCAATTCAGCCTCCATGTGATGCATGTAACTTATCTAAAGAGGGATTTTTATTCTTTAAGTTTTAATTGTAGGTCTTGTTAAACACTAAAATTAGCTGTTTGCCACACTTGATGTCTTTGGAATTTTTGTATATGTAGAAAACGTCCTAAATAGGTAACATTAACAAGTAAAGAGCATAAATATAGAAGGAAAAAGAGGAACAAGTTGATCTAATTAAAACTGCGTACTTGGGAACATTTTTAAAAAAGAGATCCCTTTCTTTTAAACAGTTCACAACTTAAGCTGCAGGACCCCCAGGTCTTTTGCTAAAAAGTTTTGTGGGGGAAAAAAAGCTAAAATGTATAATAGAAAAGAAAAGCACACTGCGTTCTAAATATAACATTTAGCTTGTTCCAGTTGTCACTGTGAAAACCAGCCCCTGAAGCCTAACCATATGTAGTTAGATATATTTCACTTCCTGTATGATTTTGCAGTTGAGGTTTTGCTGCATGTGCATGCCTTCACCCATACGAGACAACAAAAAGGGAATAAATTTTACGCGTTAAAAAAATTTACATTTTCACGCAAGTTAAACAAAAAAAAAGCTCTTCGAAGAAGTTGAAAACTCAGAGATGTGGGAAGCTGTTAATAAAAAAAATGTAATGCTTACCACATGTCGAGACATGGGATCATTTAGGGTGTGTGCAGATGCAGAAAGGCTGAACGCTCAACAAAGCACATGTTTTACTCTTAAGCTTTCTGTCTGGCTGCATTGTGACTTGCAGGATTTTAAATGTTTGCAGATGTTACCTGAGAGTTAGATCATCCACGACTGAGGCTTTAGACCTTATTTGCTGTCATGAAGCTCAGCGTTTGCGTCAGAATAAGAGATCAGTTTGTCATGCTGGTCACACTCAGTTGTTTAGGTAATTATCCCCTCATTGCAAATATGTAAGCCCTCCCAGCCCCATTTTAAGAGATTAATTTAGTAAAAAGAAAGTAAGAATCTCCCCGTTTAGTAATAAGGGCAGCTTGAGTTACCTCCACATCTTTTAGCCATCACCATACAGGGAGATATGTAGCCCAATAAATAATTTAAACATTAACAAGAAAATGTTTTTAGTTTTTTTTATCAAATTCATTTAAAGGTATAGTGGAGGATGTTCTTTTTCTGGGTGGATCATCAAAATAATTGGTCCTCCTAATTGTTAATCATCCTAGTGATATGTTTCCATAAGGTCGCCCTACGTGCTCGTCACCATTATCACTTACGCTGGTGAGTCTGACATAGTGGAAAAATTGCAAATCTTTTTTTGGAAAGTAAGCTTGTAAGAGTGATGCAAACAGCAACTTTAAAACAGAGAGTGCATGAGGAAAAATGGACTCCTGCACACTCTCGCACGTGTTTATTAGGCGTTTCCTCTTGGGAGCGGGTACAGGGTTGTGCATGTGCATTTTTTTGTAAAAGTGGTGAAGAGGGGGTCTTTCCAAAAATTTGCAAAAATCCTCCACTATACCTTTAATGTATCTTAGATTACAAGAAAGTTACATTTCAAAACGTATACGTATTTCTGTGCAGGGTACAAAATAAGCCGATGGATTTCCACTTTAAATTACCCTACACTCGGACAGGCTATGTTCTACAGACCCAACTCAATGCAATAGTCAGACAATGGCGTTTTCGTCTGCCAAAAAAAGGATTAATGCAGACAGTTTTCTTTTGAACGATGAAATCACCCTTTAAAATGACTTCATTTCTTTCCTGTAGGTTTTATTTAAAACACTAAAGCATAATGGTCCCCTTGCATTATGTTAAATCCAAAATAAAGACCATTCACCTTAATAAAAAATGACGAAAGTGTTGAAAAACTCCTTAATTACTGCATATCATAAAAACTTTACGTCTTCACTGTCCAAATGTAAAAAAAGACAAAAAGGAAAAAAGGCTTCAAAAGGTCAAACAATTATTGCCCAATATTTAACCCAATTCAAATGGAGACAAAAATATTATGTTCAAATTTTTCTGCCATACAAGGAAAAAACAATAATTACAGGGGTCTCAGTGTGATATGAGTATTCATGTGAAGTAAAGACAGTCAGTATTTTTCACTGACCTCCTCTCATTTGTCCTCTCCATATATTTAAGTAACATCAAAAAAAGGGAAGAAAATAAATGGATAATTATTAATTTGTATTCAGTATAGTTTGAGATACTTTAATAGTATAAAAATGTAGAATATATTCAGTTTACGGACCATTTGTGTATATATAATGTCTCAGACATCATCTGCTTTCTCATGGCATTTATAGTTTGTCCACAGAGGATTCACTCACCGTGTACAAATAATGACAGCCTTGCTTTGTTCTTCCCTGAAAATGGACCCTAACGACTCCCTTTTCAGAGGCATAGTCCAGTATTGCAGGTATTACAGGCCAACAACGATCGCAAAGCCTGCCCATTCTAAGAGTTGGACCTGTTCTTCCGCCATAACAAGGCTTTGTTGGCTACTCTATTAAGCAATGGAATGAATATGACTTGGATGACCAGCAAACAGGAGCCTTAATAACCAGGAACAGTCATGGCTGCCATGATGGGAAAATGGCAGTGAGAAAGAGGCTTTTTGATTGGAATATATGATTGTCTTATATTTTACGATGACATTTCCACAGAGTATCAGGCTGTGCGTAATATTCAGTTATCTTTGTCTTTTCTAGAGTTGGAACTGCCACACGGTTTCAGCCCTTTACCAGCTGCAGACAAGGCTCCACTCATCTCTCCTCACATTGAACCTCCCTTCGTACAATCACAACCTCACCTTCTGTGCCCACCTGGGCCAGAAACCCTCCCCTGAGGATGAACTGGAGGAGCATTACCTGCTGGACTCGATCCAGTGGCCCGGCCCTCCATCGCACATCGCTCCACCCGCCCTGCGCCAGACTAGCAACCCTCTTCAGAGCTCCTTCACCATCCTACCCAAGAAGGAAAGGAAAGAGTGGCGCGTTGGGGACCAGCTGGAGGCTCTGGTCCAAATCCACGACTTTCAGGGTCGTCCAAAGCGATACGGTGGGGATTTTCTACTAGCCAGGCTGCATTCTCCGGAGCTGGGGGCGGGTGTAGCTGGCACGGTGGTGGACCACAGGAATGGGATTTATTCTGCCTTGTTCCCACTGCTCTGGGCTGGGCCCGCGCGGATTGAAATAACACTGGTGCACCCCAGCGAGGCGGTGGCCGTCCTGAAACAATTGAGGGAACATCAGCCCCGCCGAGTTTTCTTCAAGAGCCTTTTCCGCCTTGGCTTCTTGTCGGAAACCACAATTTGCAACATGTGCTTACCCTCTGACCAGCATCCTCTGTGCAACTATACAGACCTGTACACGGGCGAGCCCTGGTACTGCTACAAGCCCAAGATGCTCAGCTGTGACACCAGGATCAACCACGCTAAAGGAGGGTATCTGAAAAACCTTCTGACCAACAAGGAGGCCGTGCTCCTTCAGAGGTTTGTTGTGTTTTAGAAGCCATCTTTCAGCATCCATCCATCAACATGCAAACATATTTACTACCGAAACAGGAGAGACCTATTCCACAAACTTCATAAGCATCATTATAACATAAAAAGCTGTAGACATTCTGGAAACTTTGAAAAAGCAACAAGATTTCCCATTAAACCTTAAAGGGATAGTTCGGTATTTTTGACATGAATCTGTATGGCATCCCCATCACCAGTGTCATGCAATCACACTGACTTACCCCTGGCAGCGTCCTGTGAGCAGAGTTCTCGTCCAGCTTTGGTCAAGCCGAAAGTAGTCCGGCAGGTTTGCTAGACCCAGCGAAATAAAACGTTTCTCTTCCCAAAACATTATGTGTTCAAAAGAGTGATATTTTTGCATCCCAAAAACGTTGTAGTGGAAAAAGTCACACGTCGTTATCACTTGGTCCTATTTTCTCTCTGTTCGTATCAGTGCGCGCCGTCATTCAGACAGCGAGCTCAACAACAGCCAGATGCATGTCTCCCTCCGCCTAGCTCCTAGCTGGGCGGAGGGAGACATGCATCTGGCTGTTGTCAGGTTAGTAGGCCCTAGCTGTCTGAATGACGGCGCGCACTGATACGAACAGAGAGAAAGTAGGACCAAGTGATAACGACGTGTGACTTTTTCCACTACAATGTTTTTGGGATGCAAAAATATCACTCTTTCGAACACATAATGTTTTGGGAAGAGAAACGTTTTATTTCGCTGGGTCTAGCAAACCTGCCGGACTACTTTCGGCTTGACCAAAACTGGACGAGAACTCTGCTCACAGGACGCTGCCAGGGGTAAGTCAGTGTGATTGCATGACACTGGTGATGGGGATGCCATACAGATTCATGTCAAAAATACCGAACTATCCCTTTAAATAAATTAGTTGTAGATTTCCTTAGGTACAGTAAAAAAGTTGTAGAAATTGGTTCTGGTTTTAAGGATATGTTTTTTGTTTTTACTCTAAATGGACCAATTTTGGCTGCCTCTAAAGTCAGTTGGGGCATCTCTACAATGGTTTGTAAAGAATCTGCAAAGAGTGATGAGTTTAGGTGGAGGGTTGTTTTCTATAAACTAGTTCACTTGGTTTAGTGCCTATTATTGTTGTTCTCACATGGCTTTTATCTGTTTTAAATGTCTATTTCTCAGCGGTGTAAACATCAAAGTTCGCATTCCAGCCTCTGGAAAAGATAGAATCACCATTCTGCCTCCTGAAGGTAAAGTTTCCACCTCTCGATCCAGCTTTGCCTTTATTTTGACTTTATTGGTTCTTATCTTCCTTTGTAACAGATAACGTTGAAGGGAAAGGCAGCTCAGTAAAAACAGATACCGTCCAGCTCGCGCCTTCCGGGTATTACTTCAAAGACTTGTGGAGGCCTTTGGGGGGGGCCACGATGCGTCACTTTAACGATTCGGCTGCAATCAGACAATGTTTGAGGAACAAGGTGGTCAACATGTACGGAGACTCCACCGTTCGACAGTGGTTTGAGTACCTTATTGCCTCTGCACCAGGTGAACCGCTCTTCCTTTCCTTTCCCCTTTCCTTCCCTCTCCTAAAGTAACTTTTATTTTTTTCCCCCCCAGAAATCAAGGAGATAAACCTGAACAGTCCTAAAAATGTGGGGCCCTTTATGGCGGTGGATACAACTCATAATATCCTGTTAAATTACCGCTGCCATGGCCCGCCTATCCGCTTCTCCACGGTCCTGTCCAGCGAGTTGCGTTATGTTTCCAACGAGCTGGACGGCCTCTCTGGGGGCCCCAACACCATGGTGGTGCTCAGCATCTGGGCCCACTTCAGCACCTTCCCTGTGGAGGTGTACATCAGGCGGCTGCGGCACATTCGCCGAGCGGTGTTGAAATTGCAGGGCCGAGCGCCGGGGACGCTGGTGGTGATCCGATCGGCCAACCTCCAAGCTATGGATGAGGAAGTGAGCCTCTACAACAGCGACTGGTTCTCCCTGCAGCTGGACGCGGTGCTGAAGGCCATGTTCAGGGGGCTGGACGTTCTGATGGTGGACGCCTGGGAAATGACTTTGGCTCACCACCTCCCACACGCCCTCCATCCTGCTCAGCCCATCGTTCAGAACATGATAGACATGGTTCTGTCTTATGTCTGCCCTGAGGAAAAGAGGAGCCAAACATAGCTGCTGAGACTTTTAATGAATGGATCAATTGTCAAAGGGAACAGGAAACCATGTGAACAGAGATTATTCTGTTCTGCCTCCCGAAGCTGCTAACCTTACTAAGAAATCTACCAAATGTTAGTGGATGTTTTTATATTTTCCTTACTGCATTCGTTTTGCTTCAGAAATGCCAAAGACTATGGCGTCCATTCCTCATCTGTCGTTGATGCCAAAGCGATCTTCCGTTTACAGGTCATTAATGCCTCTTTATTTATGCCTCTGTATCCATGATGACCTGAGTCAGAGCAGTCAATACTATTTATCTCTATATTAAATTGCCTTTACTGTCATTGTCAAGCACAACGAAAAAGGTTCCAGAACAGCCATCCAAGATGCATTTGGTCTTCATCTTTGATGATAAAGGTTTCAGGGTACATGTTTCTTACATATTGTTGGTACGTTTGAGAATAAATCCATGAGCACAGCCCAGAGCCCCCTCCCAGCCATAATTCCTGAGATCTAGTGTCCATCAGGTCCACCTTAGCGGCTCCTGGAAACCAGATGTAGAAGAAAGGATGGTGGGGGGGCATGGCAAATCTGTTTACATAACATCCAGAGGAAGGTGAGACGGTCAACCTTTTAGATTCAATCAGACACGTTTGTTTTTGTTCACTGTTAATTTACTCTCTGCCTTAGAGTCTTTGTTAGAAACTCTCAAGGCTGAAGTTCCAGTCATCATCATGAGTTTTGCTGGAGCTTGAACAAGACATCCAGAGGGATTAATAAAGTCGAAGTCTATCTGAATTTCTTTATCGCAATTCCTTTGTACAAAATGTAAGCTGAAATAAAAGATGAATTAGTAATCTGACGGAATTACAAAGCAAAGATTAGTAAAATCATAAAATGGTACGAAAATGTCCCTGTGTATGAAATCTTTAAATGATCTGACTGTCTTACATAAGGATGTGGTGGAAAAAAGCTAATGGTGCTATAAAAACTTTTTTTCTCATAGATTTATTCTTCTGTTTTTTTTTTTTTTTACAAAGTGTTTTAAGATGACCAAAACTTTAACATCAAAGTAGTTTAACATAAGAAAACCTGAGTTAATAAACCCTGAAAGGGGACAGCAGATAGACATGAGGGCTTATAATCTGGCATATTTACATGTAAACTTGTACTTTTGTTAATCAACTTAAATAGTTCCCTTTTAAATAAGCAAGTAAATTAATAGATAAAGATACAGATTTTTTGTTTTTGTTTGAACCACTGTCAAGTTTTATAGGTACGTTTATATGTTTTTTTTTAATAACAACAATATAACAGAACACAAGCTCAGCAGTGCAGAAAAGATAAGATAGGGGGCATACATACTTCCATCATTGTAGAATCCAGATCGAAGCATTTTAGACAGGTTGGTAGACGTGTCCTTTAGCATAGTCCAAGAAGGGCTTCCATAGTGTCCAAAAGTGTCAGTCTTAAAGTGGACGAAGCATGTTAGAAGATCGAGAGGGATATATTCCAAAATAAGCTCCTTCCACCCAAAAATAGTAGGAGATTTATTAGAAATCCATTGTAACAAAATATTCTTTTGAGCACAGAAAAATAGAACTTTATACAATTTGCTTTTGTTTTGATTTTGGATATGTTTATTTGGTAGACAAAGGAGAAGAGACGCTGGATTGAGATCAATAATGGTTTTAATGATTTTCCTAGTCTCCTTATATATCTGGATATTGGGGCATGACCAGAGAAAGTGTGTAAGGCTGCCATCATGTGAAGAAGATCCTGGTTTAAACTTTGACATCCGTTTTGGGGCCAGGCGAGCCCAATGGGGTAACTTAAGTTGCAAACCCCAGGAGCAATAACAAGTAGTAATTTTTCTGGCAGAGTTTCAAATACTGCTCCATATTTCATTAGTAATCTTCAGCTCCTCCCCAGGCCTGGGCCAGAGTTTATAAGTGATGCTTACGCTTATTTTAATGCTTTATAGCGTATCCTGAGTGACACTTCACGAGTTCCGAAGAACATTTTTTCCATGCCCAAAACCCCACTGTCCCTGAGTAGAGTTGTTTCTTTATTAATAAAGTCTCTTGTCTGGAAGAAACATACGAGGCTGTTTTTCACAACTCTGTAGGCTTTCACAACTTGATTAAAATATAAGAGCATCCCCTCCTTAAAAAGACAGCCTAAAGAGGAAATACTCTGTAATGTTGACATGTTTATGAATGCCCTTCTTTTGGCCAATGTAAAGGAACCAAACCAACTCTTTTATATGTGGATCCGGCTCTGAGTAAACAAAATAGGAATCATTCTAATTGGGTACAACAAGCGAGGGAGAATGTTCATCTTAACCCTTTATAGGGCACTCAGTGAAAGACTTTAAATATCTAAATTAAGTAATTTTCTCTTAAAATAAGTGCATTTTTTCTTGAATTGAGCAGGTAAGTGAGACACTTTGCAAATGGAATAAGACCATTTACATGTAAGGGGAAATGTACAGTTTCCTATTTCAATTGCATAATATCAAATAATCAGATTTTAAGGATAAAAATGTTCCTTCCATTGGGAGATTTTCCTATTTACGTACTCAAATTAAGGGTAAACACGTATTTTAAGACATTTTCACTAATTTTTAGATAATTTTTGTAGTGTGTTATTGGAATCCAGGACAAGACCTTATATGTTATTGGAATCCAAGACAAGACCTTATTAACTTTGTAACATTTAAAAAATATGGATATTTTGATGGCAAGAATTAATGTCAATGTAATAACAAGAAACACCAACTTGCCCAACTATATTAAGAAAAATAAAAAAAAAGTGCTTCTACAAGAAATTCATGAAAAACACTCTGAGAGGGAAAGAAACACATTTTTTTATAGGTATAACATAACCTTAGAGGTTTATTAACCCTTTAGCTTTATTTTCTAACTTTTCAATTAGCTTTTTACCTTTTTTTCTTGACTTGTTATTCTTTTTCCAACTTAATTTGCAGTAGGTAATATATCATTCAAGGGCTCATCTAATTGGTCAAATGCCAAAATAAAATGTAAAGCCATGTAGCAGTACCTTTGCTGAATGGGTGGATATAGATCTTGTGCTTCTAGACCTCACTGAGGGACAGGGGGGCTCCATTTCTAAGGGGTATGCAGGTGATCAATGGTCACTTGCCCTTTAAAGGGTTAAGAAGTGAAATTCTGCCCAGCCAAGATATAGGAAGACAATTCCAGCGTTCAAGGTCTGGCTTTATTTTTTTCAAATAATGGGACAAAGTTTGTTTTGAACATCTGATTGAAGACAGGTGTGACAAATATGCCGATATTTAAATCTTACACGGAACCACTTTAAGGGGGATTTAGGTATATAACATTGTCTTCCCAAGGGGAAAATGAGCCAAACGGATTAATAATTGCAACGACTCTTTCAACTGAAGTGGTAGGCCTGGAGAGAAACAACAGAACATCGTCGGCATATAAAGAAATTATATGGGTTACCCGATCAGTGTTGACACCAAATACAGTGGGGTCACTACAAATTGTTTCATCCAGTGGTTTGATTGCAAGACTGAATAAAAGCGGCAAAAAGAGGCAGCCCTGCCCATTTCCCCTTCCCACCTGAAAACAGCTGGACCTAACCCCTGAGGAATTGTTTTAACAGAACACCTTTGGAGGGTTTTGGAGCATCAACAGCTTGTTTTAGTTCATTTCAAAGCAGCTAAATCTAATTGTTGTCTAGATTTGATAAGGATACCCCAGAAATTATTTTACCCTCAAACTGTGGCCTTATTGGTGTTCTTTAGATCAGTGGTTGTTAACCTTAGTCCTCGAGTACCTTTGTCCTTTAGGTGTGTCCTTGTCACCACATACCCGTGTGCACAAATAATAGGCAAGTGTATCATAATTTCTATGCCTTTTTTCCTTCTTCAAGCTGTATAAACTTGAATGCTCATTGGTTATAAGCCAATCAGCTGTATAGTTGTGTAAGGCTGAATGAGATCAACAACCTAAATCAAGAGTAAAGTAGTTTCTTTTTCTCAGGAGGCAAAATGGGCCAGAAAAGAGATTTAAGTGACTGACAAGTCCAACATTGTAAAAGACTTACAAATTGATGCAGCACTGCTGAAACTGCCAAACTATTGATTGGGGTGTGATCACAGATCCATCAAACGTTTTTCGTTTGCGTTAAAAAAAATTTAAAAAAAAAAGCAAATTAACTGCCAAAGCTTTGAGAAGAATCAAATGCGAAGCTAAGTTCCACATCACATAGGAGGTGAGCAAGGAGGAGGTGGGGTCCAGGTGTGGGCCGGTATTATTAAAGATGACTTGGTTGGACCTTTACAGGTTAAAGATGGACTCAACACCCAAGATGATAGGCGGTTTTTAGAAGACATTGGTTTTTATGCAGGACAATAATCCACGGCATCCATCAGTAAAGGACTGAAGAGAAAAGACTAATGACTTGATCCCCCTCTTCACCTGAACTGAACCCTTTTGAGAACTTGTGAGCCCTTCCTAAACGACAGATTCACATCGTTAACAGATCAAGAAGCTGACAGACTGTATGAATGGAAGGCTGGTTACTGTTATTGAATATATTGGTCACTGACTTTATTTGTAGATCATGAGATGTTTATTATTCTCACTTTAATGGATTCAAATAAAAATGTGGGATAGAAAAAATATATATATTTTTTATGTAGTTGCATAATAATTCTGCACAGCAATAGTTGCCCAATAATTGTGCACACATAGATTTTATCTTAAGAAAAGCCTACATCTCACTTTTACTTCCTTAAATATTCAGGTTTAAATGCTGATGACCAGGAACCCCTGGTCTACCAGATTTAATTAAAATCAATGCAAAAAGTTCAGGCTGAATCAAAAAAGTAAACCGTTCATCTTTATGCAGCAATTTGTTGTAAATTCTGTAATTTTCATCCCAAAATGTATAAAAGCTTACATCCTACATGTGAGAAGCTTTTATATCTTACTGAATTAGTTCACAATATGTCAGAACATCTTTCTCATCTCTCTCCGGATACTCCGGCTTCCTCCCACAGTCTATAAACATGACTGCTAGGTTAATTGGCATATCTAAATTGTCCTTAGGTGTGTGTGTGCATGGTTGTGTGCCGCTGTGCACTGCAAAAACCATCTATAAATAAGTACAGTACAACGCCTCTCGTCTGTAGACTGCCGGAGATGGGCACTGGCACCACACGAAACCTCACACGATAAGAGGGAGAAGATGGATGGATGAAATATAACTTTCAATAAGCAGATTTTGGGGAAAAAAATCTAAACGGCCCCCTGCTGTTTTTTGACACACAACTGCTTCCCCAGGTTCACCACCAACCACATCGTGAAGTTTGCAGATGGTACCACGGTGTTGGGCTTTTTCACAGACAATAACCTGATCCTGAATGTGGAGAAAACTAAGGACATCATTGTTGACTTCAGGAAGAATCAGCCAAACCACGCTCCACTAGTGTAGAGGTGGTCGGCAGCATCAAATTCCTAGGGGTGCACATCACAGCCACCCTCACCTGGACTGTAAACACCTCCTCACTGGTCAAAAGGAAACAGAAATGCTTATACTTTCTGCAGAGGATGAGGAGAGACCACCTGCCCCCACCAATCCTCACCACCTTCTACAGAAGCACCATAGAGAGCGTTCTGACCAGCTGTCTCACTGTGTGGTGTGGAGGCTGCAGCGCCTCAGACTGGAAGAAAGTGAGAGTGGTAAGAACAGGAGAGAGGATCATCTGTGGCCCTTTTGTCTCCATAAAAGATATTTCATTCCAGCCCATAACATCAGTGACCATGGACTGTTCTCCCTGCTTCCCTCTGGGAAGCAGCATTCGATGCAGCTCCAGCAACAGCTTCTTCCCCACCGCCATCAGACAGCTGAGCTGTTAAGAAAACTCTAAATCATGTCACAGACTCTGCAGCAAACTGTTAACACCAACCAAAAATACTGCTTCCATATCGATGCGTTTTTGCGCCATTTTTTCTCCCACAGTTTAAATTTGATCAATGCTACACTTTAAGAAATAGAAATGTCATAAGAGCTGTGCAAAACAAAACACACTGTGTATATAAAATGACAATAAAAGTTGCCCAAATCTAGATCCTGCTGCTTGTGAAGGAGGTTAATCACAGATGTGTAAACAATGAATGTATCATCAATAGCATTGGCTGTTAGTGGTCATTTCTAAGATATATATATTTTATATTCATGTTTTTTTGAGTACGTTATAAATGAGGCTCTAAAAGGTGTCCGTCTAAAAATATAAATATTAGTATTGCATACTCAATATTAGGAAAACATTTAATAAATATGCGGCTTTGCTTTACGTTTGGGCTCATTTTTAGTCAAATATAAAAACCTAACAAAAGCCTTCGGGTCCAGTAACTACGGGTCCATCATAAAGTTCACCCTTGACTGAAGGCCTTTTAAGTTAAAAAATTGGAAATCTTAACCTGCATTTCTTAATTATTATTGTAATTCTGCAACTTTAGTTAATTTGACTTCTGGCTTATGCTTTTTCAGATAAAAAATAAAAAATTTCAAATTTACTCAATTAATTAAAACCCATTTAATTTGGTAAAGATTGAAATATGACCTTATCTCAAAAAGAAAATACAACATCACATGTTCTGATCAATCACATCTGATCTGCAAAATAAATAAAGGCAGTGAGGAAGCAACACTGATTACCTTTACCATTACCTGCTCCCTTGATTTCAGCAGCTTCTGTTCCAAATGTGTGCTCTAAATTACATTGATTGATTCACTGACAGAAAAAAAAAACCACACATTTTTTTAAAGGCTTTTATTAAAAAAATTGTTAGTTTCTCCCAAAAATTCAAGCATATCTCTAAGAACTAAAGCTTGCACAATATTTTTTATTTAGTGTACAACATAAGGAGCTGAAGCTTTTCCATTAAACAAGACTGAAAACCAACAGCAAAGTTGTACAAATATACCCCGATGTGTTCAATTACTTTTAAACCATTATTTTTGCTGAAAACATTAAAACAATTAAAACTTCCTTCGTTAAAATTAAATGACAGCAATGCAGAGCCAAACAAAGAACAAACTGATCAAAACCAAATATGAAGGACAGTACAAAAAACAAGTTTCATACAGGAAGAAGGGTCTGAGCAGACGACTTATACAACACGTTTTCAGCTGCAGAAGCGGAAACCTTCTGAGGTCACAGAATCAGATCCTGACCTGATTCAGCTGTTTCTTTCTATCAATAGAGCAAAGGACTGAAAGATACTGTGACGCAACACTTCACAGAAACTGCCAATCCTTCAACATCTTAGCAGAAAGAAACGAGAGAAAAGGTGTGATATTTGATATGCTTTAAGAATATAACCTTAGCCTTTTGGAAACAGATCAAAAAAAAAAAAAAAAAAGTACAGTACCAAAATAGAAATAAATCAATCCTTAGACATTATGGGCAGTGCAATACTCACCATTTGGCCTGTAGGTGTCTACCAATTATTGAAAAGTAAAAATAAAAACAAACAACAAACTGGAAAAGGAGTGAAACTGAAGGTGACAGCTCAGCAGTACACACAGTTTAGACATCCTGGATTTTCATGGCCTCCTGCGGCCAGCTGTATGTATCCAGAGTGAAGGAGTCGTAGTCAGGACTGTAGCTCTGTGACAGCACAAACGCCTCCTTATCCTTGGGCTCGGGGTACACTGAAGCTATGTTGTGTTTGTAAGCGTAGTTGACAACCTGGAAAGGCAACAAAACATCATGAGGTGAAGGATCTTTCAGCTACCTGCTGTGGTCTGATCTACAGCTCTCTCTGCTGGTTCTAGTATGTACTGCAGACATTTTACTTCTCCCTCTGTTCATCACCTCTTCAGTTTGGCCACATTTTTATATTATAGTCATTATTAGCATGTAATGCTAAGCAAAAATGCATTACCTTAAATACCCCTTCTAGAATTAAGTCAAATTAACATCAACTTATAATAAAAAAATGGTAATTGTAAAACAAACTCTTTGGTTTTCATCACATAGAATGAATATAAATGTATTGTCATGTTTTTTTATCTTGGTAATCAAATTTCAAAGAAATTAAAATCTATTACAGAGTCAAATATTTCAAGAATCACTTTATTTTGATGATTTATTGGGTAAATCTAGTGAAATGCCCAAACAAGTGTCTCAAAAAACTAGAATATCAACTATGACCATTTACAAATTAACTATGGTTCACACCAGTAGTTTCCAAAGTCAGCGCTCTGCAGTTTTAGTTCTTTCCCCACACTTGAAATCACATCAATGGTTCAGTAGAAGGTCTTTACTGCAGAAAATAACAGTAAAGAGCTAAATAAAGTGTTTTATCCAGCATTGTTAGATCAGGAAAATTGACCCATGAAGAATGGAGCAGAACACACCTGGGCTTATTTCAAATAGTGCAAATCAGTAAGGACAAAAGAGGAAGTGCTATATGAAGGCTGTAGCCCTAAATTTGCAAGCATCAATCATGTCTGTCATAATGACATCCCTAAGGCGGTTCGATCAAGTTCCTTCCCAACATGCATGGTGTTCTTACTGCTTAAAGGTAAAGGGATCAGGAGCTAAGAAGAGGAGCTACAATTCACAGTATTTCCAGTCAGTTAAACAATCATGGGGATAATGGGTATAATAGTTGATTCAGCAGCAGAGAAGGTAGGCCAAGAAATGCTGTGTCTGAAGAGGCTGGCTATTTGGTGGCATACATATAAGCGTGCAAAAGAAAAGCTGAGAGAAACTTGATTGGAGGTGGAGCTGCATACACATGGTAAAACGTTCATTATTAAAAACTCTGTTGAACTTTACCATCTATTACGTACCCTTACTTTCCTCACTACTACCCTTCAGTCATAACTTTAGTCTCACTTTGAGCAGTCCTGTTGCATTGGCAAATGTAGCCAGAAATACAGCAGCAGCTTTTTAAGTCTACAAAGATTTTCAATGGACTGATATCTGATTAGAACTACCCCAAACTAGAAGACGTCAGATGCGTGTTTTTTTGGGCTAATGAGTCTTAGTGGATCAAAGTCCTATTTCAGAGGAAAAGTCTATTCATTTAAAATTAAGGCCTTAAAGCCTGGAAAAAGAGTGGAGACAAAATCCAAGCTGCTTTAGTTTCTGTAGTCATTAAGGATTTGAGCAGCCATTTCATCTCCTGCTGTTAATCCACAGTGTTTAAAAAAAAAAAAAAAAGGGATGAGGATATGAGACAGCAGATGAGAAGGCAGCTGAAAATCTCAGCAGAGCCACAGGCCGACGCAGTAATTCGTAGAAAAGGCGCTTCAAACAAATTTCTGTCCTATATCTGGGTTTATGCAACATTTTGAGGTCCAAATAAAAAATAAATTGTGCATGAAGTCCCTTACCTGCACCGCTATCTTAAAGGACACTTCTCTTATAGTGCTCAGAGGTGGGTAAAGTCTTCCTTCAGCCAGGTTCTCTTCAGTTACCATGCCAGCTATCGCCTGGCAACAAAAAACACACAGCAGATATAATGAATCCTGAAGTGGAGAAATATACAGCAGACGTGAGGTAACAGCTTAAAGAGGTGTTAAGTAATGTTCAGAGTCCATTAACCATCCATAGCATACAGCAGAAACTGCTCCAAATTAGGTGTTTGTTTCTTTTAAGTAAGGAACCAACCTCTGCAGTAGTGAGGAAGATTTCTTCAGGTATGTGACGAACTCTGCAGGATATAACACCTAAAGCAACTCCTGGGAATACGTAGGCGTTGTTTCCCTGACCAGGGAAGAAGGTGCGTCCGTCTGCCAGGGTCACTTTGTCAAACGGACTCCCGCTGGCAAAGATGCCTCTGCCCTGATCAAGGAGAGGTGAGGTTATTGGCTGATCCTGGTGCATGGAGTTTTTTCATTTCTATTAGAGCGTTAAAAAAGACATGCATTCATTGCCAATTATTCACACTAGATTAAGTTTTCCCCTTTTTGTCTTAATGCAATGACAAACAAAGCTTGGTTTAATTTAAATGTTAGCCATATAGCTTTAGTCACGCACTCTCTAAATCTAGCATCAATGAACGAGGGACATGAAAGATATTCATTAAAGAAAATGCCAAAACACAACCGTAGTTTGTTTGCATCAGTCACAGAAAACAGGTGATTAAAATGAAGAAAAGAAATCTTTGCACTACTCCTGATGGTCACTCAAATAAATGTTTAAGCTTGTGATTCGAATATGAAATATTTTTTTAAAGCTCTTAGGCATGAATATTGCTATATGTTCCTGTACTGTAGTCAACCAGTGGGTACGGAAAGTATTCGGACCCCTTTAAATTTTTCACTTTTTGTTTTATAACAATCAGTTGCTAAAATCAAGTTCATTTTATTTCTCATCAATGTGCACTCGGCACACCATCTTGACAGAAAAAAACAAATGTAGAAATTTTTGCAAATTTATCGATGCGTTGATGCATGCATCAAGCCCATAGAGCAAAACACTGTGTCGCTGCGCGTGTCACTTCAAGAAAGTCATGTGACCGATCTGTCAACACGATGCATCTGCTAAACAAATGACTCATATTTTGCGGTTTATCGTTTAAAACTATCAAGAAATTTGGAGCAGCCTAAAAGGAAGCATTTTTATTTTAATTTCCTAATTTTGTCATCCGTTTCCTCTCAGTTATCACTCAACTTATCCGAATTTAAGTTAATTTTAAATTGACTCTTAGTTTGTTTTGTTTTTTACCGTTTTTACTGTACTTATTGTTTTAAAAATATGATTTAAAATCCTAGTCCACAAGCATCCTCATTCACATTCTCCCCAAAATGTTCACATTATGAAATTGGTTCACATTATTTATTTGCTGCATCTAAAATATCAAAGATATTTTCAATTTAAACATAGATATGAAATAATACAATATAACCTAAAATAACTTAAATTATAACATTGTACTAGGTCATCAAATCAATTTACTTTAGTCTGTCAAATAAGCTGCCTGTAGAGTCTTTAAAGGTTCAGCAGGTGTCAGTATTCTGTGGTATAGTATCAACGCAGTATCAATACAGCTTGGCATTGTGTCGAAACGCTTTAAGATGCCTCATCATTAGTCATAAGTATTCAGACCCTTTGCTGTGACAATCATAGTTAGCTAACATGCTGTCCATTTCTTCTGATCCTCCTTGAGATGGTTCTGCTCCTTCATTGGATTCCAGCTGTGTTTAATTAAACTTAACAAATTGGACTTGATAAAGAAAGGCACACACCTGTCTATAGAGGACCTTACAGCTCACAGTGCATGCCAGAGCAAATGAGAATCATGAGGTCAAAGGAACTGCCCAATGAGCTCAGAGACAGAATTGTGGTAAAGCACAGATCTGGCCAAGGTTACAAATGAACTTCTGCAACAATCAAGGTTCCAAAGAGCACTGTGGCCTCCATAATCGATAAACGGAAGAAGTTTGGGACGACCAGAACTCTTCCTAGACCTGGCTGTCCTGCCAAACTGATCAATCGTGGTAGAAGAGCCTTGGTGAGAGAGGTAAAGAAGAACCCAAAGATCACTGTGACTGAGCTCCGGAGATTCAGTAGGGAGATGGGAGATAGTTCCACAAAGTCAACTATCACTGCAGCCCTATCAGAGTGTCCCAATGGAAGCCTCTCCTCAGTGCAAGACATACAAGCCTGCATCGACTTTGCCAAAAAACACATGAAGGACTCCCAGATTTTGAGAAAGAAGATTCTCTGGTCTGATGAGACCAAGATTGAACTTTCTGCCGTTAATTCTAAGCGGTATGTGTGAAGAAAAACCGGCACTGCTCATCATCTGCCCAATACAATCCCAACAGTAAAACATGGTGGTGGTAGCATCATGCTATGGGGGTGTTTTTAAGTTGCAAGGACAGGACGACTGGTTGTAATTTATGGAAAGATGAATGCAGCCAAATACAGAGAAATCTCGAAAGAAAACCTCTTCCAGAGTGCTCAGGACCTCAGACTGGGCCAAAGGTTCATCTTCCAACAAGACAATGACCCGAAGCAAACAGCTAAAATAACAAAGGAAAGGCTTGAGAACAACTCTGTGACCCTTCTTGTTTGGCCCAGCCAGAGCCGTGACATAAACCAAATTGAGCATCTCTGCAGGGACCTGAAAATGGCTGTCCACCAACGATCACCAACCTCCAACCTAACAGAACTGGAGTAGATCTGCAAGGAAGAATGACAGATGATTCCAAAATCCAGGTGTGAAAAACTCATAGCTGTACTAGCTAAACATAGCACTTCTACTGAATACTGAGCTAAGGGTCTGAATACTTATGACAATGTGATATTTCAGTTTTTCTTTTTTTATTAAACTTACAAAAATTACTACTTTTTTTTTCAAGATGGGGTGCTGGGTGTACATTAATGAGAAATGCAGTTAACTTTATTTATTTTAGCAAATGGCTGCAACGAAACAAAGAGTGAAAAATTGAAAGGGGTCTGAATACTTTCCGTACCCGCTGTACATACTGAGCTATCTTACCTCTGTGAGTTTGTAGCATTGCTCTGCTGTGCACTCAGCCTTGCTGGTAGGATTACTCAGAGCAAAGATGATGGGCCTCTCGTTAAAAGACGCCATGTCTTTAATGATCTTCTCGGTGAATGCTCCTCCAATTGCAGCCACACCTTCGGGACAAACTCCAGTTATTTTTCTTGCAACAACAATAAAGAATTGAGGAAAAAAAGACACCATTGTTTGTTAAAAATTAAAGCTTAGAAATTATATTTGATCACTTTATCAGCTCAATTACTTTTTTACTAATATTTTTTATTTTTTTTACTTGGAAAGCTATAAACCTTGAAATATCCCTGAGATGTTAGAACAATTTGACAGTTCATTTTACATGCATTTATTTCTTTTTTCTAGTGTCAAACCATTGAGTTCAGCATCTAAGTTTCTAATGGATCATATTAAAGACGAAGAAGTGAGAAGGCATTTGGTTGCTACGGTGCGAGGAAATACTACATGAAAAGAGTCACCTTTATACAGACTTTCACTGAGTTTCCATAACTGGTCAGGAACAAAACAAATGTGGGTTAAATAATGACTCAAACACGGTGCTGGTGAAGTTGGCACATTTTTACCAACACTCAGAAGCAGCTCTCTCACCAATGATGGCGGTGGGTTTAATGGTTTCTACCACCTCCTCCAGAGTCTTCAGATGCGGATGATCGTGGGCAAACTCGCCTTTCTCATGGTTTAGGTTGCCTCTGCCCTGTAGGATCAATAACTTTGTTTATTTTCCAAACTTATGATGATTTACACACAGGAACACGTATTATGATGATTTACCTTCACAATAAGACCTTTAGAGTCCACCATCCAAATTCTTTTTGCCGCATCTTCTCTAGATACTCCCTCTTTGGCCATGGCCATCATCAAAAGGTGGGCGATACCCATAGCAGCCTGTCAGATAATAAGTTTTAATCTCCAAGTCTGTTAATGTTAGTTTAAAATAGATTATCTGCGCTGAAGAGGCTTGGTTCACCTCTACTCACCTCGCCTGCTCCCTGGAAAACAAAGGTGTGGTTTAGCAGCTTGTCCTTGGTGATCCTCAGGGCAGCAAAGATTCCCGCTACAGCTACGGATGCTGTGCCTGCAGGGAGAACAAACTTATTTCTCTTGAAGAGAGATTAGATTCCTATAATGAAACAATGTCTGCTTGTGATTCATTTTAGATCACAAATATCAGACAAAAGTAAAGAGTGGCTGGTAAGAATGTCCAGACCGCTGACAAAATCTCAGTTTTTTACAATTAATTCAAAGCGATACAAGAACACAAAGTGATACATGAGGATAAAATGGAGCGAACGTGATGTACTGTTTTTATTTTATTTTGGTGTCTTGAAAATGGTGATCTAAAGAGATTAGCCTTCTTTTTTTAATCAGCAGGACTCAGACAATCCGTGCATTTCTGAGTCTTTTCCTACAATTACAGCTGCAAGCTTTTTTGTTTTAGAGTTAATAAAAGATTTTTTTTAAACAGCAAAATAATACATGACTTTCTAAACACAACCTATTATTTTTGTTTAATATCTAACGTAGAAAATGTGTTTCCACCTTAAACAACCAACACTTTATTGTATTTTTAGCTTTTAAAAATAATGTCAGAGATAAAATTGTTCCATAAGAGGAAGTATGGATTTTCTTATATAAGCTATTATTTGATGTAAAAAGAGAAAAGAAATCTGAGCTAATTGAAAGAAAAAAAGCTCTAATGCATTTTTCTGGTTCTTTTAATGTCGTTCTGTAGTGAAAATTCAAAGATTCTTTCTAAAAACCACTAGAACATCTAGGACTAGTATTTGTTCTTACTGTACATTAGTTGTTTAGATCATCTTAGCCACTATTAGGAGCCATTGTAGATGGTCCAAAGAGCCACAGTTTGCAGACCGCCTGATCTAGACTAACATTTCTGCTCAGCTCTGGCATCAAATAACATCTGCTCATGCTTCATGTCCTTCAAACTTCATCCATGCTTCTTTATAGAAGAGCAGCATGTCTCAGTAGATATGCACATTTAATATACTCATGATGACAGACTTAATGCAAAGTTTGGAATTGTATTTTAATAAGCCAACCTGGTTTTAAACTTCTAGGACCTCAACATTATCCCCAATACATCTCATGTGTTCCTCAGGGTTCAGGTAATTCTTATGTTCAATTGGCTGCATGTGAAATGATGACATGCTACGACCACCATTAAAATCCTTTCACTTCCCAATAAAGCCTTACTTGGTTTGCTGATGAATATTAAATCCCAATAAAATATACAGAAGAGTGAAATGAAAAAAAAAAAAAAAATGTTTCACTTTAAATCTGTATTTTTCAAACTCTGACCATATGAATGCAGTACCGAGACAGATCCTCTGGATAATGTACCTTGGATGTCGTCGTTGAAAGTACAGTATCGATTTCTGTATTTGTTAAGTATACGAAAAGCGTTACTGTTGGCGAAGTCCTCAAACTGGATCAGGCAGCTCATCCCATACCTGCAGAGGAAATGCCCCATCAGCCATGCATCAGGATCAACAACTCTAACTTTAGTAACGTGATTCTGGCTCACTTGTCTGTCACGGCCTGCATGAACTCCTCGATGAGCTCGTCATACTCCTTTCCTCGGATTCTCTTGTGCTTGAGGCCGATGTAGAGAGGATCATCTAGAAGTGCCTGGATTGGAACACAGTGGATATTTCTGTGAGACGCCGCCTTCCTGAATCTATGTTTTGAGTTAAGCAGGCCTAGAAAGCATCATGATCGTCCTCACCTGGTTGTCGGTGCCAACGTCCAGTAGCACTGGGAGACACTGCTGAGGAGGAACGCCACCGCACGCCGTGTAGAGAGCCAACTTCCCAACCGGAATTCCCATCCCATAGCTGCCCAGGTCCCCCAGTCCAAGGATGCGCTCTCCATCTGTCACCACGATGGCCTGGACAGACCACAAATGTCACCTCCGATGTTATATTACAATGCTCCTCCAGATCCAAACTTCTGGATTTATTTCCTGTTCAGTTTTTTCACATTTTAAACCTTTAAGTACAAAGTATTAACTTAAACCTGTTCAAGTTTTGCTACATGTAGATCACAAAAAAGACCTAAGAAATCATACATTTAGATTTTTAGATTGGCACAGAGCCTTAAAACTGCTCCTGTTCAATCTGGACTTAAACTGAGACTTCTCCACTTCTCTAACTCTTATTCTAAATCTGATGGAAGCAGACTCTTTAGAGCCCACCTTATTAATCTGTGGCAACTTGATTTTGACCATGCAGATTCCTAAAATGAGTTTAATGCTATGCCTTTAAAACTAAGTTGAAAGCCCATCTTTAAAATGTCTTTAGACCAAAAAGGTTTTTAAAAAATCTCTTATTGAATTTTGGATATTAGTGAACATTGTTATTTGTCAAAACATAAAACAAATGCGAAAAATGTTAGAATGAAGCTGTGATTTAGCAAATCAAAGAAGAAGAACATCCATTTAACAAACCAGTGTGAAAACCTCTGCATATGTAGCCTTATTATACTTTTGTCTTCTTGGAAACGTATACAAAAAAAAAAAAAGTCCGGTAGATCAGATAATTAGCATTCTTACTTTCCACAAATGCATACTAATCCAGAGCTGGAAAATGATAACAACAGAGCAAGGTGTGTACCTTGATGTCATCCTCAGGCCAGGAGTTAAGCATGGTGGCAATGTGTCCACGGTCATGGATGGTGATGAAGAGTCCTCTGCAAACACACAGAAATGTGGAATCAAATTACACACAAAGACCGACATGCAGCAAATTATAAAGCCAACTTTACAAGAAACACTTTAAAGTTATAGTAGAGGATTTTAGCAGTTTTTCTCCTACGACCCTCGGCCATTTTCAAAGAAGCGCAGTGAGAAAGGTGAGCATCAAGGACTGTCTGAAACCGTACCTCAATACAATTATCCTCCTGAAAGTGCGTATGTGCAGAAAAGGACAGTTACATGCTAAATAGCGTTGCTGTTTAGCACGTCGGATGGCCTTACGTAAATCTATCACCAGAATGACTGACAATTAGGATGATCACTTATTTAGATGATTCGCCCGGAAATTAAAGATCCTCCTCTATACCTTTAGGGCCGGATTTATCAAGATCCAATTTTGCGTGCAGTAATTTGCGCTCGCAAACTGTAATTTTGCGCGAGGGGCTGAACCATGGTTTGCGGGTGATTTAACAATAGCGATTGCGTAACTGGTGGCAGGTGCAAAACTGTTGGAGACGCCCTATTTCAATGATGGTTTTTCGCGTTTTATAGTTTGCGGCAAAGTAGTTTGTGCAAACTAGTGCATTAAGAAATTTAACTCTTACAGTGACCCCCCCACCCCCTCCAAAAAAAAAAATTAAAAAAAATAAACATTTATATTTTTATATATATATATATATATATATATATAAACGAAATGTTTTGATGATCGTTTCCTCGTTCATTCCAAAAATATTCACACGGACTGAAAAAATGCGTTCTCTGCGTCTCCTTGCTTCATTTCGATGTCTCCTTCTTGCGACAATAACCGCTGCCATGTGTGCGCAATTACGCATACAGACCATTTGCACCTTCTTTTGAAACGTGTTAAATATAGAGTCAGATACCGTTAGCAAAATTGCTTTCAGGTTTAATAAATCACTTTGCGAGTGCTAAATTAATATATTTACATGTTCTCCTCCCACAAGACGCACTTTTGCGTGTAAACGCCCCATATTGCATATTCATTGCAGAAAAAGTACTAAATGGATAAGAGGCGCTATTTAGCACACTTTAAAGACCAAATCCTTTTAGCACGCTGTCGATAGATCAGTTTGTACATTTTTTAGCGTGCACAGTGAAATAGCTTACGTTTTTATACACGCAAACCTTTGATAGATCCGGCCCATAAAGTCCAGCTTAAACATAACTATCGCCTACAGTCAGGACAATTGCCAATCATCTGTTTTGACACCTTAACACATTGTTTCACTGCTACTGATCAAATTTAGAGATTTATGGTTTTTCATTTGTTCAACTATAATAAAGCAACATAGAAAAACTGGAGTTTGAATCACAGTTTTAGGGGAAATTATTTTAAAACTCCACTGTTATCAATCTTAATGCATTACTGGTTTCTAGAGACTAAGATAAAAGTCCAAAGAGAAAGAGTAGGACATTCAAATGATGGAAAAAAAAAAAAAGATAACTTGAGGAAAGCTTCAGTTCCATTTAAAGAAAAAAAAAAGCTGAACAGTAAGTTCACAAGATATTCTTTCCCTAATATTGTGCAGCACAAGCAGAAATGGTGGGAATCTCACCGCGGCCTCCTGAAGGCGAGTCCATACTGCTGACAGGCAAGGCCCACGGTGGGAGTGTACACAATGGGCATGAACTCCTCAATGTCAGAGGTCAGCACCCGGTAGAAGAGCTTCTCGTTCCTGTCCTGCAGAGTCATCAGCAGGATGTACCTGAGACATAAGACACAAACGTGTTGTTTCAAAGTAAATGTAAATCCCTTTGTTGTCCCAAAATGTGGAAATTGACTCTCTGCATTTGACCCATCCCCTTGGGTAGCAGTGGGCTGCCATTGTGTGGCGCCCGGGGAGCAGTGTGGGGTTCAGGATTTTACCTTCTCAGAACCCCGTTTGGTTTGGTTTATATTATATCCTATCCCATCTTATGGTTGGATTTTGTTAGGTTTGTTTGCATTTGCTTATTTCTGTTTAGTTATTGATTTTGCAGTAAGCCATTTTCTATTCCCCATTTTATTTATCCCTTGTTCAGGTTTTGTTTCTTTAGTACAATTTAATAAATTCTATTTTTAGTTTAAAGAAAATCCTTGTGTGGTCTCCTTTAATGTTACCCCTAATAAACAAGCCTGGTGGACGCAACACACTACAAAATTAAGAGAATTGATTGTTTGGAATACATTTCTACAGTTGGAAAGAAGAAAAATAGAGTTTAGGTTGTGAATATAGGTTAGTGTTTCTGATCAATTTTAGGCCAGCAGTGAAGGCTTTGAAGGCCCTCCCAGCCCACCGCTGGAGGACTGGGGCTGAAGATGACTGATCCAGATGCACAAAGCTGTCAGACAAGAGATTGCAGCAGCGATTTAAGCCAATGTTGACTCAAAGGGGTTAAATACAAATGGACAAACCTCTTTTACAGTATGGTTTTCAGTTCACAAATAAAACGTGCTATAACCTTGTGTAACTTATAGCATTCCTTTAAAATACCTCCAAGTGTCTGGGTATTAAATCTGTGCAAGGCTCTGTATAAGCTATATTAGTGTTAACCTATGAACACTACCACGATTCCCGGCTGTATTAACTTTCCATCCCCTGGATAATAAACAAACACAACAGTAAGTGCAACAGCAGGAACACACAAAAGAGGATTTTAACCAACAAGCTGCACTGATGAAATGTCTGTATCTGTAGTGTTTTAATCTCAAACAGGGCTTTGAAATGCATGCTATGAACATCTGACACTCACTTGTCCAGGGGGTTAGTGCGGGTTTCGTAGCTCTTCATGACACGCAGCACTTGAACATCCTGGGAGAGGAAGCAGGGAGGGATCAGGCCGTGGATGCCCAGCTGTAACCTCTCCTCCAGGGTGAACGCCATTCCCTGAAGGATAAAGCCTCAATTATAAAACACTGAAATCCCTACAAGAATTAGTGCAGGGAAAATGATTTAAAGCAAATATAAAGGCAGAAAATCTAGACCACAATGATTCAAACATCTGTCATGAACCTAGAGGGAAATTATGACTCATTTTTTTTGCGATTGCTTCGGATTGTGCATTTCTACTCCACGAAAATTTAAAGAGGCAAAAGGGAAGAAAAAGGGGTTTGAAAGTGGAAAGCAGGTGCTATTGTCGTTGTAATCTTAAAATTGCATTGCAACCTCCAGTTAACTCATATATATATATATCTATATATAGATCGATACCAATTTATGAGCAAGTTAGGCAACTTAGATAAAGAAATAATAAAAAAAAAGTTTACTCCTTTAACTGCTGGCTTTAGTTACTATATATATTTATTTTCCACTGACCCTGTATTGGCAGGGGGTGTGAGGCTTGATCTATTTATTCCGTCCAATGAAGCTAGCCCCTGCTCCCACTCCCCTTTAAAGTCCTCTGCTTTTTCTTTCGTTGACGTCTTTGCTCTGACGCGCTCTCCATTTACTCCACTGACCCACATGAGGACAAAACACTTAATCCACTCCAACTTTGCTCTATTCTGCATCTGGATGCCAACTATTTTGTAATCCGATTCAACAGCAGACAGAGAGAAAGTGTTCGGGAGGAAGACTTCACAGGGATATCGCATGAATGAAGAAACCTTTACCTCCGTCACTAAGTGTATTTACAGCAGTGTCAATGAAGCTAAATATCAGTTTAGCAGCTTTAAGCTAGACATTATAGTCACTCATTGTAAAGCAGCCATTAAAGGTTACACTCATTACCACACACAAAGATTCAGCCTATATTCAATAACTTTTCAGAGTAGCCATACCTCTTGAAGGTTTTCACATTTCTACCACTAACTTTAATATATTTTATTTTGATGTGATGGTTTAAAACAAAGAAACAATATTGTCTGTCCAATGAACAGTTGAATTTAGGTCAATTTTGAACACATGAATTTAGAAATCCAGGAAAACATTAACAGTTGATAACAAACAGAGGGAGCAATAAATGTAGCTATTTGAAGGCATGGCTGCTAAATGCAAGAATCGACATGTCAGGGTCGTCACCAGTATATTTTTAGCTTAACGGCCCGTTATGCTCACGAAAAAACTCAAAATTATTCTGAAAATCAGGACAATATGCTTGTTTTTTTAAGACAGGAGCTGGTTACACTAAAATCCTTCAAACTATTAGTTTGAGAAAAAGAGTGTGAAATTCCACTATATCACATTTTTTTTTCAACCATGCCATTTTACAGTTCTGTACAGCACTCGTTGTACTTTTAGGTTCCTTTCCAAAAAAAAAAAAAAACATTTTTAACTGATATTACCGATGGTAGTGTTTGTATTTGTTAATGACGATTGAGTTGACACACTTTATTATAAAAGAGTAATGTGCAGTAAAGCACAGTTTAAGGACAATTATTAGGTCTAACTCTTATATGGAAAAAAAGGAACTGAGTAGTTTTAGCCTAATAACTCTTAAATGGAGTGTTCCACTTTCCCATGTATGTTGTTTTGCAAAATGATTCATGCACCTTGAACTTATCCTACTGCACTTGTTACAAACTGAAACTACCTGTACTTTGCAATTGTTAAATAAAAGGAAAATTACACACATGGTTTAGGTGTGGACTTTAACTAGGTATTGTAATGTACTGTAATGTCTTGTAATCTGAACCATCCCATTGTTGCTGTGGCTGTACATTTAAGGTCACAGGCGTGGTTAGACTAAAACCCTTAGAATTACAATGGAAATATGCCGATACCCTGCCTTCTAAGGAGAACAGAAATTGTGTTTTTTAACACATCAACCTTCTTATTTGCACACATACACTATATTGCCAAAAGTATTTGCTCACCTGCCTTGACTCACATATGAGCTTAAGTGACATCCCGTTCCTAATCCATAGGGTTCAATATGACGTCGGTCCACCCTTTGCAGCTAGAACAGCTTCAACTCTTCTGGGAAGGCTGTCCACAAGGTTTAGGAGTGTGTTTATGGGAATTTTTGACCATTCTTCCAGAAGCGCATTTGTGAGGTCGCACACTGATGTTGGACGAGAAGGCCTGGCTCTCAGTCTCCGCTCTAATTCATCCCAAAGGTGTTCTATCGGGTTGAGGTCAGGACTCTGTGCAGGCCAGTCAAGTTCATCCACACCAGACTCTGTCATCCATGTCTTTATGGACCTTGCTTTGTGCACTGGTGCACAGTCATGTTGGAAGAGGAAGGGGCCAGCTCCAAACTGTTCCCACAAAGTTGGGAGCATGGAATTGTCCAAAATGTCTTGGTATGCTGAAGCATTCAGAGTTCCTTTCACTGGAACTAAGGGGCCAAGCCCAGCTCCTGAAAAACAACCCCACACCATAATCCCCCCTCCACCAAACTTTACACTTGGCACAATGCAGTCAGACAAGTACCGTTCTCCTGGCAACCGCCAAACCCAGACCCGTCCATCAGATTGCCAGATGGAGAAGCGCGATTCGTCACTCCAGAGAACGCGTCTCCACTGCTCTAGAGTCCAGTGGCGGCGTGCTTTACACCACCGCATCCGACGCTTTGCATTGCACTTGGTGATGTATGGCTTGGATGCAGCTGCTCGACCATGGAAACCCATTCCATGAAGCTCTCTGCGCACTGTTCTTGAGCTAATCTGAAGGCCACATGAAGTTTGGAGGTCTGTAGTGATTGACTCTGCAGAAAGTTGGCGACCTCTTCGCACTATGCGCGTCAGCATCCGCTGACCCCGCTCCGTCAGTTTACGTGGCCTACCACTTCGTGGCTGAGTTGCTGTCGTTCCCAAACACTTCCATTTTCTTATAATACAGCTGACAGTTGACTGTGGAATATTTAGGAGCGAGGAAATTTCACGACTGGATTTGTTGCACAGGTGGCATCCTATCACAGTTCCACGCTGGAATTCACTGAGCTCCTGAGAGCGACCCATTCTTTCACAAATGTTTGTAAAAACAGTCTGCATGCCTAGGTGCTTGAATTTATACACCTGTGGCCATGGAAGTGATTGGAACACCTGATTCCAATAATTTGGATGGGTGAGCAAATACTTTTGGCAATATAGTGTATATATATATATATATATATATATACACATGAGAAAAGCACTGTGAAAACGTAAACCCCCATTAAAACAAACATCGGCCCCCTGAAGCAGCAAGGAGCATTTACGGGAAAAAAAGAACAAAAAAATAATTGTGCCCCACTCGTAAAAAAAAAAATCCTGTGAGAACCCTGTATGCATCAGTGATAAAAAATAAAATAAAAAAAAGACGCAAATATTGGCCAAAATGTTCAGTCTGTCTGTAATTCCAAAGCTTATAAACTTGCATTTAATATGCCAATGTAATATATAACCAGTCAGACAGAGGCTCTCCACAGCAGAGGCTCACATCTGACATAACCGACATACAACAAAAGGGCAAGGAAAGGGGACAGAAAAGGGGGTTCTCAGGTGATATAATCTAGCTATAAACTAAAGCTTGATTATAATCTCAATCACAAGATTTTCAAATATTGGACTCTACTGTTGGTCTTGGTGAACAGCAAAGTCTCCATAGGACAGCAGTTATTCTGAACTATTTTAATCAGTGCTGAATTAACTGTTTTTTCTGACATGCTCTTTGAACTCTATCCTGCAGTTTATGACCTGTCAGGTGTGCTCCTTGGCATTCACTATGCTGATTGTCTGAACACAAACCTCTGGTGCCTTTGTTCCACATCTCTACTTATACCAACATTAAATTACACTAATACAAATCTATTTACAAATATCTTCTAATGGCAAATAATTGCAGTGGATTTTATTTAGAGGCGCTAAAAGAGGCTAAAAACAAAAACTAAACATACTTTGAAAAAAAATTACAGAAGTGAAAATGGTGTGAAATGTTATAAAAACCTTTAGCCACACCTCGCCACTTCTAAACTGTTATATGGTTTTACAGCCCTTTACAGTGAAGAGGATGAGGATGTATCTGGACATCTTTGAAATTACTGGAACTGATTTGTTTGCAGAAAGTAGTACACGTTAGTCCCGCTTCATTCACTGAATAAAACCAGAGAGCTTAGTGTAGCTGCTGGAGTGGTTCATTTTATAAGAGCATTGCACATGACTGGGAAACAAAAGATTTGTTTCCCTTTGTGGAAGTAGAACTATTTCCTGACTGTTTGCACTTAAATGAACCTGTGAGTCAGGATGTGACTGCTGAGTCGGCATGGAAAGTAGAGAGAACTAAGCCTGACCTCTGAACATCTAGAATCTAAGCCATAAACTTGTTTTGGTCCTCAGTAGCGTTCCTGCTGTCTTCACAGGCCGAAACCACAGAGGAAAAAGAACAGACATATCAATATCATTGAGTATGGTGGCGGGGAAATAATCCAGGAACATGACAAGAAGTTTGAAAAATGTTTTTTTTTTTTTTGAATTTTCCTCCAAGTAGAACAAAAGAATAGAAAGGCTCTTTGTGTGTTTAGAAATTATCAGACTGTAAAACTGTTAAATACTAACATCATTCCCCCATAGATCCAAAAGTTCTGCCATTCTACTCCTTGTTTATATATTAATTCCACCATGACATTATGTTGGCTGTACACACAATCAACTTATCCAGTAACAACTTAGCTTCTGAGCATCTGTATGCTTACAATTATATATACACTAAATGAAATTTCGTTTTGTATACATAAAAGTTGTTTAAGACTAAGCCTAAATTTTACATTTTTTTCTCAAATACAGCTGAAGAAATGTCACATTTGATACCATAGTCCCCACTGGGAATCTGATCTGGCACTATAATTACTATGAGGAACCCCCATTTTATTAACAATACAAAAGATGTTTTTCATTTCCAATAATAACAAACTTCATCAGTATGACATCAATGAGTGCCACTACACATCAGATCAGGGTTTATACAGG